GCTTGTCAGTCTTTTCTGGCCTCTGAATTCCAACTCTGTTTCTATCAAAATGGCCTCAGAGATCTTCTGGTTTACTTGTAAGAAGCAAATGCTGTAACACAAGCACCTAAAATTAATTACCCTGTAATAAGACATCACCTTGGTTTGATACACTTGTTCCATCAAACGCCACCTGGCCCTGGCATTTGCTGTCCACTGCAGCAGGTTCTGTGGTGATGCGCTTTGGACTGGTGCCAGTTTTAGACCCTACTTTGGGGACCCAGAGTCCTGGGGTGACATGTCTGTGAGTGGCTGAGGTGGTACCTGAGTCCTCACCACAGCCTCGGCCACCTCTGCAGTGCTGGTGCAGTGCCAGGCTGCTGGGCTGCAGGACAGAGAGCTCCTATCCGTGTGCACTGAAACCAAGCTTCAGGGCCATGGCAGGGTGTTTTCTTTGCTTATGTTTTATTCTGCATTAGAGTCCAGAGGTCCCCGTGTTTGCAGCCATTGGTGGGTCTAGCAAGAGACAGTGGAGGGCAGTGAGGCCCAGGCTGCCCCCAGTCTGAAGGTTACATGTGGACAGGTGGACTGCTGAGCTCTCTGTGCCAGGCAGCCATGCTTGGAGACACTGGAAACACTGTTCCCCAAGGGTCTACAGGCACCTTGGCAGAGGCTCCGGATAGCACAGGAGTGAGTGGTCGAGGCTGGGGCTTCCGCTACGAGGCCATAGGCCTGCAGCTCACTGCCCCATTGCTCCTCACAGCGAAGGGGAAAAGGGTCTTTATAATACCGTCCTTGGTGGGCTGGTCCCATCGTGCGGATCCAGAAATTAAACTGGAAATCATTGCGTGTGTCAGGAAGGCCTCAGGTGCTCAGTGGTGACTGTTTTATGTGGAATAAACCCAGCAGTAAACAGCAATATGCATATTTAAAATTGTGGCTTCTGTGCACTAAATGACCTATAAAAGATCCACTTTGCATCAGGGTGCTGGCAATTTCTGGGTCATCCTGAAAGCCCTGCCCTCCAGGACTTGCCAGTGACCAGGGCTTGGGGCTGAGGCTGTAGTCATGAAAACTCTAGGGACAACCCTGACCCTTGTCCTGCCCTTCCTGCTCTCTGGGGACCGCGCTTTCCCTGAGGAACTGCCTTCTGGGGTGCTGGGCCTGGACATTGCTCTCAGAGCTGAGGTACTGGAAACCACATTTGATCTTACAGGGCTGTTCTAAGGATCCAATTCTCACTGGTTTTCCTTCTCCTTAAATAGCTGTCTCCATGGTTACACACTCATTTATCAGGAGCCCCAGAAGCAATGCACGCTGGATAGCACTAGAGACGGTGTTTTCACTATTGCAGTAGGAACTGGGAACCTTCTCTGGAATACCAGCTCTTGCTAGAGGCTGCTCTAGGTGTATGCTCACCTCTGTCCAGGCTTGGCCGCCAGGACCACGCTGCACTGCTGGGTACTTAGTCCTGTTGAGCATGCTGCTCAGTGACACGGCAGCCCGGAGCCACAGTCAGGCCCGGCCCCGAGCTAGGATGGAGGAAATGCAGGCAGGGAGAACGCAGACGGGAGAGCCTTGATTTAGGGGCTGTACGTTAAAGGAAGAAGGGCTGCGGGACCCAGGATTATGCAGGTCATTCTCCCCTTTGGCGAGGTTGCAAGGTTGGCAGGCTCCTGGGGGTCCAGGAGGCGTGGGTTCCTCCCATGAACCGAGTCTCTTCCATGGAAAGCAGGGCCAGATCCGGCTCAGGCCAGGTAAATAGTCTGCATTCGAACACTGCCAGTGAGTGGCACAGAGGATAGACAGGGAGGTGCTGGCGCTAGGCCCCATCCCCAGGTCACTCCCGGTCCTGTGAGAGTCCTAGCCTAGCGCACGCCACACCCCTCTCCTGGGGGTCCTCTGATGTGTACAGGCGGCACACATCAGACATGTCACAGACGTGTCCTGAGTCTCCTGCTCTGTAGCCCATGGTGGCTGGGTCCAGGCCCAGATGCTACTTCAGGGATTCTCCATCTCCTGGAATGTGCTCTGGAGTCATCCCTGGCATTGCCTGCAGGTCACAGAGTAGATGAGAGGGGGCATGGCAGGTGTGGCACCAGACACCAGCCCAGAAGCCCAGAGCGCCCCTTCCTCCGGGCAGGAGAGCCAAGGGCCCTTCACTTGGCTCACACGGCTGTGCCAGGGCTCACTTAGGCATTGGGCTCCCATTGTGCAGAAGACTCATGAGCAGGTTGGGGCCCTGGCCTGCCCTTGAGAGACTCCCTGGCACATGGGAGGGAGAAGGGCCAGGCAGACCCCCAGGATGCCAGGCCAGCCCTGTCCTTGGGGCCCCAGTCTCCCTGCTTCTGGCCACTTTGCTTCTCAGAACTGGGGTGAAACTCATAGCACAAAACTCCACATGACACAGACCATTCTGAGGTGTGTGGTTCGGGGCTCTGTGACTGTCACCCAGAGACATCTCTGCCTTGGATCATCACTCCCAAGTCCTCTACAAAGCCCTGGAAACCACATGTCAATCTCTGCCCCTGTGATCCACCTTCTGGGATGTTTTCCATGAATGCAGTCGTTCACATGTGGTCTTCACACCTGGTTCCAGGTCTATCTGTGGTGCAGCATGGAATATGTCCCTTCCTTTTCAATGCCATATAGTACTCCACACTGTGCACACACTGTATTTTGTTTACTTAGCCCTAGCAGAATTTTCACCTGACTGAGAAACTCCTGTTCCCAGATAACCCCATGACTCTGCCTCGGAGGAGGTGACCAGCTCCACCCCTTTCTAGCAGGCCTCCAGATCCAAGATGCAGCACTTTTGAGTGAGGTGGCAGTGCTCAGAGTGGCCCCAGGACACAATTCTGACAACTCAGAGGAAGGGAAGAGGAAAGGACGTGAGGAACCTCAGGAATCTGCAGGGAGGGGGTGCAGGCTTCAGGGCTCCAGTTCAGGTACGGCCACGCAATACAAGTGACATTTGGACAACACAGGACCACACAGAGGTGACTGCTGGGTTACAATGGAGCCCAAACCCCTCTCCCATGACCCTGCAGCCACCCTGTGGTCACAGCCCAGTGCCCCCTGGAGGTCTTTGCAACGCTGTGAAAGTGACAGCTGCACTGCCGGGAAGACCAAAGCACAGTACCCAGGACTGTGCACAGCACCTAGTACTTGATATGGGTAACAAGCCACCACTCAGCTGGGCGTGCATTTGCTGTGGCAGATTTCATGACATCTCAGAGCAAGGCTTCTACTTGGGGCCACAGAATGGTGCCCCTGTGAACAGTGGTGGCCTCACATGTGTCCGCTGTGCCCATGGTTGCGTCCTCTCTGGGCTCTGCTGGCCCTGTGCTGTTCTGCTCCCCACAGTGGTCACAGATCCCTGCCTACTCCCCAGGGCCTAGGAGGCCCCACCCACCTCGGTCACCTAGAGGTACCCCAAGAGGAGAGGCTCCGGCTCCCAGACAGTGGCCTAGTGGGGACACACACAAGGATGGTGGCCCTGGGGGCCAGCAGGTCACCTCTGCTGACACGGTGATGGGAGGCCGATGCCGCCTCTGACTTTCCAACATCTTTCTCCGCAGCTCAGGTGAACTCACCAGACACCTCCTCCCTGAACCCTGAGTCTGGGCCCAGAGAAGGCGGAGTCCTGGAGCGGGGTTCTATGCACATCAGGGTGGGGAACCCCTGAGGCTGTGCTCTTTGCCCCGTGGCTGTCTCTTGTCCCCAATGTACCCTGCCAAGCTCCACCTCAGAGCAGCGGTGTTCAAAGGTCTCAGGGTGCAGCCCCTCCCCGCTCTTCCTCCCTGGGCCCCAAAGCCCAACAGGAGTCCCACCCTGACCAAGCTTCCTGTCTAGGAGCCAACGGAGCACCCCTCCCTCTGCAGGCACCTGGCTGGGACAGAGGTGCAGGCCATTTGTGGCTCTCCATCCTGCAGAGACCATGCCAGCTGCCACACAGCCACTGTCCCCTACCATGCTGGGCCACACCCCTCCCTGGCCTCATGCAGCCCATGTCCTCTGGGGCCCCAGCTCTGTGATGGCACTCGATCCACCCAGGCTCCAGAACCCAAACATCCCCCAACTTGGGTCCCGCCTGGAGCCACTTCTTGTCTCTGTACCATGGTCCGCCCCCACCCGTCCCTGGATCATCTTGTGGCCCCTGCTTCTGGGGCATCAGAGCCACCCCCCTTCACCAGACTCAGCCCACGGCATGCTGCGGTGCCCAGTGCTCATCATAGAGGGAGGACACGGCACCATCTCGTGGCCCAAGGTACACAAAATCACTTATTACAGGTGGCTTTTGTTAGCAGAGCAGCGAGCGCTTCCAGAACTGCTGTTGTGAATTTCTCGGGGGACATTGGGGTCTAATGCTGTGGGCTGCACCTCAGATAGCACAAAGCAAGCAGGATGGGCAGTGTTTCAGGGAAAGCAGCAAATGGACACCAGCACCCAGGTCCTTTTCTTATCTTTTCTCAGACAGTCTTTTGTTGCCGTCACACATCTATTTACGAAATTACTTCCCATCTGCGCTCTGATGAGCGTAAATTGAGCACATTACTTTAAATGACGGCATGGATTTCATCATGAACATGGATGCTTTAAAACACATTGTCCCAGCACTATGGGGGGCTGAGGCAGGAGGATCCTAAGTTCAAGCCCAGGTTGGGCAACTTTAGTGAGACCCTGCCTCAAAATAAAAAATAAAATAAAAAGGCTGGAGTGCTGGCTCAGTGTGAAGGCCCTGGGTTTCATCCCTTGTACTGAAAAAAATTAATTTGCAGATCTCTGCTCCAAAATAAAAATGCAGTGAGGAATATGGATGCATTCTGTAATTTACACAGACAGGAAAAGAGAACAGACTGTAAAATGTCAATCCAGGCAAAAGGAGTGGAACCGCTTAGGTCTTTCCCTGAAATACCGATTTCGATTGGATTTCTCGAATTTCTGTCCCTTAGACACGTTCGTTTAGGAAGTTGCTCCTGCAGTAAACGTAGGCGCCCCTCGAGCTCGACCCCACTTACTACTGCGCGCAGTCGATGAGCTGGTACTCGTTGGATCTCTCGAAACATGCCTTCACACCCTCGTCGTCCCAGAGCTTCTTCACGTGGTCAAAGAACTCCTGCGGGGGATGAGGCACAGGTGAGTGGCACCCATGTCACGGCCGGCACGAGGCTCACAGTGAGAGAAAAGCAGTCGCACTGAGCACAGGGGCACGCAGGGCCTAGCTGCAATCGAAACCTCTTGGAGCCATAACTGTGGGTTTGGGATTGTACTTGAAATACTTCACGTTAGGGTGACCTGTGAGGTCACTAAGAACCAGGAACTCACCAGCCCCTTTGCCCCTTTCTCCTCTCATTTGCATCACTGTCTTGACCATGTACGCGGGCAGTGAATATTTTCAAGTGACCCTGGAGATGGAGTCCAGGGCTCCCCTGCCCAGCTGGGGACAGCGTCTGCTTTCAGAGCTGGAGCCAAACTTGGCGGGTGGAGGGGGAGCGTGGCCCGTGTGTGTGAGGCTGACTGCACGCCTGCCATGCCTGCTTCCACGCCGTGCTCCATGTCTTCTGAGCCTCCTGCAAGCGTCCGACCTGGCTTGACTCCCCAGCCCCCACCCACTTGCCTGCAGAAGCTCTGCTGTCTGCAGGGAACCAGCCTCAGCCCCAGGGGTCATCAGCAACAAGCACAGGAGAGAAGATAGGACAAGGACTTGTCCTGAGACTTCTGGACACACCCGAAAATTTATATCAGATGCCTCAAAGACTCTGCCAGAAAAACTACCACAGATGCTCACCTGGGCCCCCTGCCTAATGCCCCACCTTCTCTCCATCCCTGTAAGAGGGACACACTTCTCTACGTTCAGGACAAGTGGTCTTATTGCGCTCTCTGCTGAGCCTGACATGGTAAATTCCCTGCCAGCTGCCTTTGCGTGAGCCTGGCGGCCTCTGTCTGCCTCTTAGGGCTGTGCTGCCTTCCCCTGGTGCAGTGCAGTCCCTGAGACACCATATCCTGAGCTGCAGCTCTGGGGCCCACTTGCTCCCTCTTGGAATGGACTGACACAATGTGGGAACGTGACTTTTCACAGGACAGTGGACCATGTCTACCACTGTGCCGTGGACCACACGAAGGGGCCACCTCAGGACAGCAGAATGAAGTCATTTAAGTCCAATTTCCTAACCCTCGAGTTAGACCTGGTTCACCGGGAACACACCATGCTGTTCCTCCCTGGGAACCGGAGTATCTAATAGGCCCTGTCACTTCTCTTCCCAGGGAGTGGACAGAGGGCAGTATAAAAGTCTGGGTGGGATCTGTCATCACTGGAAACACCCCAGTTTGCTATTTATAATCTCTGTGCATCCCCAAGGCTGACTCAGCACTGTCACCACTTGGTATCCGGGGCACTGGCAGGCTCTGAACCCCGAGGATGTGGAAGGACCTGGGTGAAACAGCACAGAGTTTCCACAGAACCAGTGCCACCTCACCCCATGCCATGGAAACTGCCTCGAGATGCCCTTTTCCTTCCAGTAGTTTTGATTCTCAGTTGGTTGAGCTCTCAGTTGTAGGACCCATGGACATGGCTTGATCAACTATGTGTTTACAATTCTATTTAGGAAGGGCTTTCTGAAACCGGGCTTAAACAAAAGCAAACAAACAAAGCCCTGTGGGAACAAACTGATTAAGATCCTAGAGATCCCAAGCCCAAAGCTGGGGCAGCAATGGCAATGACTGAACCAAACAAGATGGGGTCGGCACAGGCCAGCAGGAACCCAGTGTGCAGGCAGCGCTCTGGGGGTCCCGGCCTGGCCTCTCTTCCCAACTCAGCCTGGGGGTGGGTGATTCAGGTCTCACCTCCAATGATAAGGTCAGAGCTACTTAGCACGGCCATGCTCACCTGCCTGGAAAATGGTCAGACCCGGACCCTAAGCACACCAGTCCAGCTGGCCTCAGTGGTCCCATCCGGCCTCAGTGGTCGCAGCCCGCAGTGTGTCCTGGGCCCAAGACCATGGGTCCCACCCACCTGAACCACACACGCTGCGTGCGCTGTCTGTGTGCCCATGGGACTGGGCCTTTATCAACTACCCTTAGCATCATGTTAGCACTGTGTTTTAGGGCTACTTCACACAAAGCTCACCCTCTTCCACCGTCACGCAGCCATGAGTTCATCAGGGTGACGCACTGTCCCTGGACTGGTCCTGCCCCTCCTTGAAGCCCAGCCTGGCCCATGCCCATCTGTGCAGCCACCGGGGCAACCTGTAGTCTGCCTTTCCCAGGAATTTCACAGCCACAGCACCGCAGAGTCTTTTGTGTCTGCCGTATTTCGCCTGGCACGGTACTTGCCAGTGAAACTTGTCCATTTTGCTCTGTGCAGTGCTGACAATTGTGGTACTGGGGATGGATCCTGGGCCTCATGCTCACGGGCTACATGCTCCCTGGCCTGGGTCCGATCCCCATTCGTGTTGCTGAGCTCAGCTTCACTGTCTGACTCACCACACCTGCGTAGCACTCACCAGCGGGGAGGCAGGAGGGCCACTGCAGCTCCTGACTGCAGACAGTGCCACTGGGTTCCCATGGGTGAGTCTCTGTGTGGACCTGCATTTTCATTTCTTGGGTAGGGCTGGCAACTTGGGGTGACTTGGTAAGCACTGTCAATGATTAACTTCAGAAGCTGCGGAGTCGTCTTCCACTACGGGCATCTGTCTTACCCTGCCAGGAGTGACGTTCACCTGGTTTGTCGCCTTCGTGATTTTTAATTATTCTAGTGCATTATTATATAGTTTTTCATTGTGGTGTTTGCTTGCATTTCTCTAAGGGCAATGCAGGATATTGTTTCATGTGATTGTTGGCTATTTTGTGTATCTTTTTTCTGAAATATCGGTTCAAATCCATCATCCATTTAACAAAATGAGTAACTTCTGACAACTGAGGCTTTTTTTTTTTAAAGTAAAACATTTTTAAAAGGTCATGAAGTGCTACTGCAAAGTGTCATTCCCAAGTGCACTCACTCTGAGACTTTATCATTAAAGAATATAATCAAGCCCGCCCTCTACTACACATCAGAGACTTAACTCTTTTCTCGTTTCATTTTGTGTATGCCCACGTTTAATCCTCCATCCCAAACACACCTTAATTTCAAAGTTTCCTGGGCTTATTTGCACCTCTGCTGGAAGTCTGTATCTCTTGACCTCTCCTGGAATCGAGAAACCTTACCACTGTTCCATTTCAGGAGTTGAACTCATGATCTTGCACTGGCCAGGCAGGCGCTGTGCCACTGAGCTCTGTCCCTGGCCCAGACCTTGCTTTTTGAGTCTAGTGTCCACTCTTCTTTTCAGCATCACAAGTAAAAGCATTAAACCATAGAGATGAATGCAGCTCAGTTCTCAGTAGCTGAGCTATGGAACAGCCCAGCTGCCTGACAACTGACAAGTGGATGAAGAAACTACAACATAGCACAGGGGAGTATTGCTGGGCCCTAAAGAACAGAATTCTGTCCTTTGCTGGAGAATGAGTGGAAGTGGCGATCATGGAGTTAAATAAAATAAGCCAGGCTCAGAAAGTCAGATATCACATTTTTTTTATAAGTGGAAACTAAAACAATCAGTAAGTAAATTAAAAAGAAATGACTTAAAAATCATCTATATTTAAGTCCTTTGTCAGCTTTCTTGTTTTTGCAAATTTTGCCCCTTGCATTATAGTAGCATCTTAGTTTTCTTAAGTATCTGTTGATGGCAAAGCTTTAAGTTTTGATGTCAAATTAATTTTATTTTCTTTCAGGGCTTTTGGTTTGATCAAAGAAATCTTTGCCTTACCCAGAGTCAAAAGTATGTTCTGTTTTCTTCTAAAAATTTTATAGTTTTAGCTCCTTCATTTAGCCAAGATCCACGGGTGTTAATTTTGGGGTATGGCACGAGGGATGTCTGCTCCCCCAGAACACGTGCAGAAGAGAAGACTTGCTTCCCACTGACTCACCTTGGTGCCTGTTGGAACTGATCATATAAATGTGGATCTATTCAGATACTCTCAGTGCTGTCCCGAAGATCTCCGGACCCACCCTTATGCAAACACCAGACTGTGCTTTCCAGTGAGTTTCCAAGTCAGACAGGTTGTGTTGTTCTGTTTTCATGCTGGAGACTGAACCAGTGCCTCGGGCTGCCGGGCTGAGGTCTCTCTGTGCTCATGCCCAGCCTCACACCCTGGTCGTTTCAAGTCCTTCAATTTTGTTCTTCTTTCCCAAGATCATTTCAGCTATTCTAAGGTTTTCCCCTTTTCACACACATTTTAGAATTAGCTTGTCAGTTTCCAAAAACAGACTGTGGAAAATTTTGACAGGAATTACACCGAATCTAGGCCATCTGGGGAAGAAATGCCGTCTTAGTCATGTATGTTTTAATCTGTGAACACAGTATACCTATTTATGTCTTATGTAACTTCTCTTCATAGTGATTTTTTAGTTTTCAACTTAAAAATCTTTTGCTAAATGTCTGCCTAGATAAACATTTTGGGGGTGTTATTATGAATGCACACATATTTTAAAATTCATTTCTAGATGTTTTCACAGGTGATGTCCAGAAGAAATAGTTGCTCTCTCTATTGGATGTCTTTGGCCAGCTTGCTAATTTCACCTGAGTTCTAAAAGTGTCCAAGCTTTGTGGGCCTGGGGCAGGGTCAGAATTCCATGTGGAATTCTGACTTTAGTACAGGCTGCTGAGGTAGTGGACGCCCCCTCCCATCCCCCTGGCTGGTCACTCTGGCCAGTTTGCATGCTTTTGGCTTGTCTTGTTTTCTTTTTTTTTTCATGCTACCTTAGGCTCTACCTTTTACTTCCAATTTATAATCTCACAAAACAACTGTGAGAAGGGAGGCATTTATTTTAGTAATATGATCATGACCCATAATGGAGAATTAAATAAATCTATCCTCTACAGATGGGAATGTATAATTTTCCTTAGGTATTTTTTTCCCAGAAAATTTAGTTTTTTTAGCTTTTGAGACTTTTCATAACTCTCCCACTCTGCCACCTAAGATCCTTTCTGTGAAATCTTAATTCTCTGGAAATTGCACAATTGCAGCATGCCAGAGAGACTCACAGGAGAAACTCAGTTGTGTGGGAACAGAAATATAATA